TGCTCGATGCGGCAGAGAGGCCGCCGTTTATTATCCTTTGCGACGGCCAGGTGGTGAGAAGGAAAGGTCATGGTGTATTGCGTGGGCGGGATACTGTCAGGTTGCCCAGACCTAGACAGGAGAATGATTAGGATTCTCAACCAAAATCTTTGGTTAAAAAACCTTACCGAAAGGCAGCGGAATTTGGACATTGGACTACAAATAGCCGTTTTATGGAGTAAGGACCCGCTTTCACTTCAACCCCCAAGCTGGAAGGCCAGGAGACTACGTTCGTCTGGCCTCTAACTATGGACCAACCTGGTAGGAGTGCCTCTGAAGTTGCAAAGCACCACCCAGCATATTTCAATGGATCACACACATACACACACACACACACACACACACACACACGAACATTCGCACAACATTAAGGTTCAGCCTCATCGCGATGGCTGGAGCTTGATAGGGAGAATCTGATGACCTGGACGATCGAATGCTTTCGGAAAATCCAGGTATATCACGTCATCATTCTACCTAGTGTCAAGTAAACCGGCTTGGCTAGTACGTGCCGTTTATGCTTTCGTTTTTGCACGATTGCTGTCAGCGGAACATGGGCTGCCCGTGAGCAACAATATTACGGGTTTCCATCTAGGTCACCAACGCATAGGCAATGTCGGATTCCAAGATAGTAGACAATACAGGGAAAAAATATAGGACGACAGGTTGAAGGCTCAGTCTTGCTTTATCATTTGTGCAATCGGATGTAGTATTCCGAACTTCTACATGGCAAGAACCTAGTTCCGGTCAAATTACGCTGAAAGAACCAAGCCTAAGTTTCTGACAGTCTTGCTACTATATCCAGTCCTATTGGACAAACGGTATCGATGCCAGGGGAACTGTGTTTGCACAGAGAGGTCAGATCCCTCAATACAACTTCCGCGGCTAACATGATGTAGTTGAACCCTGGTGGAGGGGGGCGAAATAACTGTAAGACAACCTGATGGTAAGACCAGCTGAACTGTGACTCAAATTACGTCCGCAACACGCTTGCCGCTTCTAGAGCTATCCTTTCTTGGTCGTCAGCCGTTCAGAATTAGGAGAACATCCATGCCTCGCCTTTCGAAGTCAATTGACGTGGTCTTACAGTAGTTTATGATTGGTACCGAAGGTTTTTACCATTTTCCGTTGATATAATACTTTGTCTACTTTTAACAGTCAAGTGCAGTGGTTAGGTTGGATTAAGTATTGATCCCATGTACCCGGAGTTGAAAATGATCTATATGCTCACCACGCTGCCTTGCCTCATGCTGACAATTTTCACTTTCTGTTCCTTACTAAAAAAATGTTTTGGGTCCATTGCGCACCATTGTCATTGAAGCAACTTTAATCACGCCAGTAAAATTCCTGACTAATTCTAGCCAGGCAGTTTACGGGACTCTTCGGGAGGAAAGATCAAGTTGGGGCACGGATAATCCAGGCCAAGTTATCTTACTGCGAAATAGTGCACACCAATGCAGTGTTCGCATTTCAATATTCCACATAACAGACGGAATTTACACTATTGACTACATGATCACTGCGATCCAACGGGTAGTTTAGGACCCACCCATCCATCATGTGCTCCTCGTAGGGGAACGCAAGGTCCAGCAGAGAATACCTGATGTCTGTTCTGAACCGAACGAGTAAAATGTCTTAGTTGTAAAGCGGGTCGATGGAATCGAACACTTGCAAATCGGCTATGAATTACTCTCCGATCGTGGCAGGGATTTTTTTATAATGTAAGCTAAATCCCACGTTGTAAAAATGTGAGTGTATTATCCGATTAGAGTGTGTCTTAGAGCAGTCGCCGAGTGGCCGTTCATTTCCAGTGTACAGTTTGGAGTGTGGTACACCAGGACCACAAGGTAGATGACAATGGAACAATGGTATATGTGTCAGCTGTACGCCGTAACGGCGCTTCGCTGCCAGCGCGACCACCACCAGCCGAGCGGGGGCTGAGTATACCGCGAGGACGCCCACCCCTATGCGGATTCGACCCGGTGACCTTATGGTTGCAAAGCGAACGTGCAGACCACTCGGCCACCGGCCGACGGAACAATGGCATAATACCATGGTATTATACCATGGAACAATGGTATAATACGGATAAAAAAGCCAAAGCTTGACAAGTCCCGTAAGATGGTGATTGGGAATAAGGTTAGTTCAAAAACGTTGCCCAGAAGTGAAAAACGCATCCGTGAACTCCCCATATTATCCACGTTAACACATAGGTATATCCGTCAACTTCGACTTCGTGGGGGTTGGGGAGCCCAATGTTTGTCTGCGCCATGTCGTCACCCAGTGAATAGAAATCAGCTCAAGTAATGTACACGGTGTAAAGCATCGTCGAGACAATTTTAAATATGCGTAGTGTGAGAGTGGAATTAAAAATGTCGAACGAGCGTTCCACAGTTGACAAGTTCGAAGCGAAAAATAATTCCGGCCGCACTCAAGCTGACTGTAGTGTGCGGCAAGTTTCAAATTATGACTCCACAATTCTGTGTCGCAGCTAATCTTCAGCAGGTGATGGCTAGCGTGACCGGGGCTTTACAACTCTATAACGCCAGGATGAGATCACCCCATAGACGGCGATATCTTCCGCTGTACACGCCCAGGGCTTTCAGCCACCTATGATATTACAGGTGGGACAAGCCCTTCACATTTTTGCTTGCCTTTCGATTTACGATCTCCAGTGCAATCACCTCGCGTTTTAACCAGGGTTACCAGGCCTGAATCGCGCACTCTACATGGGACCACACATATGCATTGCGCATTTCGTGGAAAATGGTGGGGTAGATTCTCCCGAACACCCCCAGTAACAGGCCAACATGTTGGTTTGCAGTTTTGGACACCAAAGAGCCGCAGTCATCTTGCATCACCACCCCAAGATCGCGCTTCTGTGAGGCGGTATTCATCCTGTGGTCTCCAAGCTTAAATACGGAGGTGACATTGTAGCGCACCTGTACAGATTTGCACTTATCCGCGTTAAACGGGTGTAGGTTTCTCTCTGACCATTCAACAATGCGGTATAAGTCTCTTAGCATCACGCCGTGTTCGTCCGCCATGTCTTGATGTCATCGACAACAAACAGAAAATGCGACTCGATAACACGCGCGTAGTCCTTGATGACGGCCAGAAATAGGCGCAGCCCTAACACCGATCCCTGAGGGACACCGCAGTTCACGTCAACAGGACTAGAAAATGAACCCCTAACGCGGAATGGTAGCCACCGCTGAAGGATGAAATTCCCGATCCATCCAAAGACCGGGTCCCCAATTCCGAACGTGTGCAACTATTGGAGAAATATTCGGTGATATAAGCGGTTGAAGGCTTTAGAGAAGTCGAGGGAGATGACATCAGTGTCGGTCCCACTGTCGACTATCTCGGTCCAACTGCCACGGGCAATCAGTAGATTGGTAGTACATGACCGATGCTGACGGAATCCGTGTTGCTCCGGTGCTATGATGTCAGACCTTTCGAAGTAGCCCATTACAATCTCAGCTATGATCGACTCTATCAAATTGGTGATAACCGGGAGGAGAATCACTGGGCGATAGTTGACGGTCTCCGAACGGCTACCACACTTGAAAATCGGTGTGCTGATACCCTACTTCCACATGTTGGGGACCCGCTGTTCCTTCAGGTATCTTTAGCAAAAGTCGAACTAACGGCTTAGCCATCTTCATAGTTGCCACCTGAAGTGTTTTTGAGGGAAGGTTGTCAACTCCGGAGAAACTATGAGTGCGCAACGACAGCAGTTTCCTCAAAGTGAGAGCTGAACTAAATGTGACGTGTGTAAATACCAATATCTGGGAGAACGGGGCTGGTATGTTATACATGCTGGGAACACGTCTGAAAATTGGGGCATATTATAGGCCTAGAATGTTGGTTGCATCCTCGGCGGTTTGAGCACATCCATCTGCAGATATTAGTTGGGGAACAACACGTTTCACATTCCGGAGGTTGTTCACGTCTGTACAGAAGCTTTTTGTTTGCAGTAAACTTTTCCGCTAGACTCTGCTGGTTTACTAATTAGTCTTCACGTACAAGTGGGGTCCAATCTCGTTATGTATACGTAGATAGTTGAGGTTCGTCACATGCAGTTCTCAATGTAGGTAGTCTTCCATGTGCCCGGAAAAGCACTAGACTGCAGTTTTAGCCCGTTGTGGAAGACTATCTAATTTGGAAGCAGGATGGTACGAACCTCAAGTATATACAACATAGTTACTCCAGTAGTCAAGGCTAGGGTACGCTCTTCACACATGCCACGCTGCGTCATTTACTGTCACGTGTTTTCGGGTTCTGCCCCGATTGAATGATTGTGCTCTTGCGAGATGAAGGGGCTTGTTGACCGATGCAGACTTAACCAGATCACTGAACTTGCTAGTAAACTCCACCTAAGCACTGTCAATGACAGTCTTCGGTAAACTCATTGGCGGATTCTAAGGTTACTCTAATGAGTCTGAGTTCACCATAGTGTACCAAGTTCGAGTGCAGAGCAACTTATTCACCAAAACTCACAAGGAGTTCCATTGCTCTAGGACGTCAGGTGACTTACCCCGCAATGTGCAGGTGACAGCTTGGGAAGATTTGTGCATACAAGTCGGGACATTACTGCCAGGTCTTTTTTCATTGAACTGCGAAGTATTGTGATTACGATGCTTGGCTTTCCTCAAGTGGTGACTGCTTAACGTTTGTCTATCTGTGCTTGATAGCGATGTTTAGAACAAAGGTGACTGTAAGGAGGCATCCCGGGTGACCTTCGAGGCAATCTCTGTGTATGATACTGATGTGCCGGGAACTTAGGCTCGGGCAGAGACCTTTGAGCTGCAGATGCAGTAGGCTGGTATGCTGTTTCTCTACTGTATTGACTGGAGTTGTGAAGGCAATTACTGCTACTGCGCTTGTTTGGCTGTTCTTTAAATTTGCGTATCTTCAGTAAGTCCGTGATAAAGTCTTCTGTGGTTCCCACTTGCTTGTAGATACATGTGTCACGGCGGAACCACCTTTGGATTTTGGAGTGGTGCAGTCAGTAATCCGTACAGCTCGCAGATCAGCAGCTACGATTATGGTGCTCCCATTACCGAGGCTGGAGATATCACTGACTTTTATCACCAACTTCGGCAGGCGCTTTACGAAGTAAGTCTGTAGTTTTGTTCACCTAACCATTACACACTAAATTAAGATACGTAAAACCAGATAACATAGTTTATCTACGCGATTTCTCCATAACTACCGTTTAAATGGGAAGGTATTCAAGCTGCCTAAAGATGCCAAACATACGTTTTGTGTACCCGAGCTGATGCATTTACACGGAGCTAACTTATGTCACCATTGGTCACTCAGCGCTGTCGACTGTCACTAACAATGCGCCGGAAATTGAGTCCCTCACTTCGGGTTTCCAAACTCAGACTCGTAGTCCCCCGGTGATCCGGATTCAGGTACCATAACCAACCACGGGCACTCAGTTAAATGATCGTACTAAGAGAAACAAAGTATGGATAGCTACACCATTTTATTTCTATTTGTAGTTTGCGGATGTTAAAGTGAACGAGTTAGGCGAGTGTTCGCTACTCTCAAATCTATGCTTTGCAATCAGTGCTAACTCCGACAAAATATTTCCATCATGCTGACATGTAGTTATTCAGTAACAAAGTTAACTTTTAACTATTCAGCCATCGACACTTGTAACATTTAAACATATTTAAACCATCGCTTGTACCCTCACTGGGACTTCTCCAAAAGTGGTGTTTATCTTATTGTGTTTTTCAGCTTAAGAACGTTTCCATGCCAGAAGCACCGGCGAATGTTAGCAAGGTGGCCTATAACAGCATAGACCTGACCCTGGTAAGGATAACATATCCTGCACCATCTTACGTTAGACGTGCTCTTTCAACGTTTACTGATACGTTGTGGGAAGAAATCAGACCACAGATTTACAATTCGCCTGTCTTTAGTGGTATGGTTAGTAGACTATGATTAAAGTTACTTTGATCAGGGCAGTGTTCTAAGGTGTGTAGTGCGTCAGGACAATCCAGGCTTCTTGTGCGAATGTGCGCAGTGGATACCACCGAATCAATTTTGAGAATACTTAAAGGTATCCCAGCAACTAGCCTCGATATGGTTAAACGAAATCAGTCTAACAGATAAACCACTTCAGTTTAACTACAGGAGGTAGTAGGAAACCTGCTCTTGGAGCGATTTAGTAGGAGGTATGCAGACAGTCGGACATTTGAAACTGGTGAAAATATTCGTTTGATGACGGATGATTTCCACACCCATCCCGTGCGTGTTCAGAAACTGCTTTGGTACGTGACGCATGTGTGCGCATTGCACAGGATGCGTAAGAGTAAACATCTGACGGCCTGTTCATTCAGACGACATGCAAAACATAGAATGTTATTCGCCAAAAGGGTGTGGTACCCGTCCACACTTGGATGATTTAGCTTGCGGTCACAAGGTGGTTATGTCAGTACCATTCGGCATAAAGCAGCCTAAATATGCTATACGATGTGAACCGATAGGAAGTCGGCTTACCAATCTAGGATGCAGATAGAAACGACGGTAAAATATACGAGATCTTAGGAGATTCTAATGGTTATATAAAAAGTCAGTTAGGAGATAACAAGCTTAGTAGGATTTCAGGTAATCGGTACATACTTTCGAGATTCACTAGTACGAATGCCTTGGACTTATGCGAAGCCCAAAACCATATCACTAATGTTAGCAGGAAAGGAGTAACTAAAGTGGGAAGTCGTGGATTTCAGGCGCTAATAGGATGAAGCCTTTACGTGCTTAAGGAACCACAAACCATTGTAAATCTTGTTACTATACAGAGACGTGGGTTATTTGTCCAGTAACATATGCCGTTATAATCACTTTCGTCAAATCCTTGTTTACAAGGGACTCATGCGTTCCGTTTATCATATTCTGATCCCCTGGCACAAATGGATTGGATGCGCCATATGATAGCCATTGAAATACTATCATCGAGAGGACTGAGACTTTACGAGCATAACTAGGTCACTTGCTGAACTTCTCGCAGGTAATAACGAATCTCTGCTACAGACGAACCCCGAAAGGTAGCAGCGCTTCTTCCATGATTGTATGGATGCGCGTTATCTGAATGGGTCTGGTTATGGGAACTTCTATATGTGGATGTAATTGTCCTTCAGTAATCATGGGCGGATTCACCCATTAATGATACTGTTATGTAGCCTCCTGGCGTGATTTTGGTGCAAAGGGTAGTGGACACTAATCAGGTGCTCATCAAGGTTCTAGTGAATTGTGCACAGTTACAATCTGCCTCAAACCCCCTAGAATGTGCTTTGTGAAATTCTACCCGCTTTTTGTTCGGTCCGCGGCTTATTAGAACAGGTTGTTTTAACCATTTGGTCCTCACTCTTCACCGATCAACCCCCTTTACAGGTCACGCATATGCTGGCAGAGACTACCGAGGGTATAACCGCTACGGTACCTTGGAGCATGGAAGCTGTGAAGCAGGTATGCAATCAGACTAATTCGTTGTGCTGGGAAAGCTTTCCATACGAGATTAATCCCATTTCTTCGGCTTGTTGGGCTTGAGCTGGCTTTTTGCGAATGATTGTTTGATCTAAACCAATTTCTGCAGTTCATTTTATCCCTTATGGCGCTCTACAAGAATGATCACTTTGGCAATTGTACTACAACGCATCTATTCAAGTCGAACCACTGTTTCCTAGTGGCCAGAATGCAGGTAGAAGCGCTAAAGAATAGTCAGAAAAAACGGTTGCTGAGACCAGATGAATGCATGACAAGTTGAAAGATACAGATCTTGCAGCTGGTTCATAAGATCGGTCGTAGGAAACTTGAAATGCTGTCGTCTTTCAACGTGATAAGCGGATCCTGAAATAATATCTTTGCTAAATTGAGCAGCCTTTATCAAATATGAGTTACATGATGAAAAATGACAGATGAAGCAGTTTGTGTCAATCGTGTAACGGCTTAAGATTCAACTGTAGCGATGGGTTGGAGAATTATTCTGGTTGCGCAACCTCAGCGAGATGTACTTATTATGATTTCTCCACCCAGCATTATTAAACACCCGCAACCAAAATTAAGCAGCAACTATGCGTTGAGCTACCGACACCAAGAAAGCACTGTTCAGGATTCGGCGGAGGCCAGAAAAGGGTGACTCGCAATGTGTATCAATACACTAATGTCTTGCGCAGTTCATCAAAACCTTTGTCTTCATTGCTGAGTCGCTTCTATTGTAGGCCCAGACACAGGTGCCGTGAGAAACAGTGTGCAGAATTCATTTGCATCCCTCAATAAATCTTCTGCCGAATCCTTACAGTATGTCACCTGAGGTATCGAAAGCACATAAGTGTAACAATGATGTAATTAGTGGGAATAGCCAAAAGTGCGCACTTCCTTTGTCTCGTACCGAATTAGAATCCAAGACCTACTCTTCCGAGTCAGTAAGTTGAACAGCTGCACAGCCACCTAGTACTTCTCCGGCAGTTTGTACGTGTGGCGGTGCAGCGTTTGAAAGTGCACCCAAGTATCCGCTTTGGCTACAAGTTCTCAGTTCCATAAAGGAATTGATAGGGAACAGACAAGATGACGCATAGCACATCCATAAACTTTTGCGCAGATGGACCGAAAGCGACACATTTTTCGACACATCGTGGTAAGGCTACTAGGTTAGGCCACCGTGCCTATATGTCTCCCTATAAAAACACAAGTAGCTAAATCAATAAATTCCTGTAAGAGTCTGCCACACTTTTGTTAATGTATGGTATACGGTAATTCTATCTTACATTTGACAGTCCTTCAAATTGGATTGAACTGCAAGTAGAATAAGATAAGCTTATCAGAGGCCTTGCGAGCACACAATGATTTCGGTGGCCTGTGTGGCGATGGAATTAATGCGTCTAAATTTGAATCTAAACTTGAGCCAGTTAAGTCGTATATCTACAAATGGGTACCTCAATTCATGCTCTACCTTAATTATTCGTGGAGCAGGGGTGGCTGTTAGTTCCGTCTGCAACTTGTTGCGCTTTAGGACTCCAAGATAGCCATGAAACGAAGTTCTAACGGACAGCCTCCACCTAGATTTAATTAACACAGGCCAACCTCTGAATTATGTTACTCGCAACTTCCTAGACCAAACTGCGGTTTCAATCTCCGGATTTCCTTGCCTTGAGTGTGAGACCAGTAATTTGACAACCAGAAAGCTGCACTCAACACAAACGCAATCTTGCCTTCGCATCATCTTGCAGAATACGTGAATTGAAACCATCACGTGCGTTGACCTTACGGTTCCCTTGAATTCAGTGCATTCGGTGTCCTTAGGGGTCACCTGATTATGACGTGAATGAAATTGTTATATTCGCTACTAATAGGTTGGTCTAGTAAGAAATCGAACCGAATAGATGCATACGACCAGCCACACCACTCCGCATGTACTTCACTTGTAGCACAATCGCTGCAGTAGGGAAAAGCACAACTACTTACACTCACCAAACTTTAGGCATTTTATCCCAGTAGATACTCCTCGATCGCTTCTGCAGAAGACCTGTTAGTGAAGCGATAACGGGCGGCAGCCTCGCATCTCCTTAGTCATCTTTGTGATATTGGAGAGATAACCCAATGCAAGTATCTTCGCCCGACGATTCCGTCACATTTGCCAGAGACGCGCAGTCTCCTGATCAATTATCTGAACCTGGATTAGACTTGTATATGCATAACTTACATAGATATGTTGGGTTAAGAAAGTCATCTTCCCTTTGTAGTGCCGGATTTCTGCCACCACAGGCGGCCAGACTACTTATAGTCCATTCCCTGTTTGGAGAGTAGTGGGATTGGGCTTCTCTGATGCCATCCTGAAGGGCGGGAGAATCATACTGGCAGCAATGAGTGAATAGGGCCACATTTGTGTGACTCAGATGTTAACCATGATAGTTTGACCACCACATTAGCAGTCCCTTTAAGCTTCTTCGGTTGCTTTGAGAGTATTCCAGCACACCGCGCATTACCGTGGTGGATGGAAGGGGACATATCATGGAACCCAACCACTATGGACTACGCTCGACCTGCTTTATGGCGTTGTCTGCAAAAGAATAGATACCCGAAAAGTGTACTGCCATACTTCGAGCTTCGTTCATCAATGTCTCGAGCAAAGTGAGAATCTAAGGTAAGCTTTAGTGACCTTTCGCCGTCATCAGCGGTGCACGACAAGGATGCCTCATGTCCCCGGTTTTCCTCAACTTTACGATTGTGTATGTTCTATTAAGCGCTCTGCAAGGTCCCCAAGGTTCTGGAGTGCGGTTTCTTCTAGAAGCCACGCAACTGATTTCCACTGTGCTGATGATATTGCTTTGATCGATGATGACCCACAGATCATGCAGGTCGTTCTAAATAGCTTGATAATTGTAGCTACCAACTATGGCATGACCTTCGCTCCATCAAAATGCGAAGGCCTACTCCAAGACTAGCATCCACTTACCCCCGTGCTGATGCTTGCTGGCGTGCAGCTTGAACAAGTAGATAGCTTCTGTTACCCTGAGAACTGCGTTTCTTCTGATAGCACCATTGGTAAAGAGATTTCTCTCCGTATTGCTAAAGCCCGAGGTGCTTTGTCTGATCTGATGCATCCGAGGGGTCGTTGTGACGTTTCATCCCCAGCAACGAGCAGGGCCAGCAATGCTTGTGTTCGCGCGGTCTTGTTGTATGGAGTCGAGTCCTGGCAAATCCGTGTAAAAGATGTGCTTCGGATTTCGGTCCTTTACAAAGGATGTCGGTGCATGACGGCTCGTGTATGATAGGAACACCACGTTTGCAAGGTCGATGTTAAACGTCGTGCCTTAGGTTACGCGGGCCTACCATTCGGCAAGCTAGTACCGTTACGCCAACTGTGGTGGACAAGTCACGTCTTAAGCATGTATTGCAAGCAATCAAAACGGCGCGCTCCATTAGCTCGCGCAGGACGGCATTGGAGTAACTCTCGCGATGGCCAGCATATCAGATGGCGACAAAATGTCAAGACGCTGAATTCAGTTTAACAATTGTCGACGCCGGGTTGGGAGTCGGAGATGAAGAACATCGCTGATTAGAGGCACTTGAGAACATAGCGCGTAATCCTAGGCAATGGAAGGCATGCATGAGTCTGCATTGCTCCTACTGATCAAAACCGTAAGCAGGAAACTGACAAAAATGAGAAAATGGCGTGGGAAAAAGAAAAATATCCCTTGGTATATTTCTCCATGTTGTGATCTTTTTACTTTTAATAAAACATCCAATGCATGCTTTTTCGATAGCTCGAAGATAATTATATATATATATATATATATATATATGTATGTATTAGGCAGCATCCCGGTTTCGGATTTGCCTGTCAATGTGGTCAGCCGCAGGACGCCTGCTCCTAATGAGGGACCATGGATGGCTTCAACCACACACCCCATATCCAGTGTAAACCCGAAGCGATAAGAGAGGAAGTGAGTGGATGAAAGCCACGTTTCATCAACGGAGCCGGCCCACACTCCTTCACAGGCAAACACAAGTACGCTGTATTTGGGAATCAATCGCACACGAATCAGTGGCTGGACCGTAGTCCGTTCCACTCTGAGTGCATGGAATCACTCTTCGAGCCTAGCACGGTAACGTGCCGACATAACTAAGCTAAATTAGCAAATGAAGTAAAGTTGGTTAGCAACGAATCGGCCAGAAGTACAAAATGTTCAAAACTTATTCAAAAAATGCCACTAACGCGACAAGTTAACGAAGATAAGCACAAGTAGCGTAAGCAACGTGAGTAAGTTACTAGATTATTCAGCTAGACAGAATTAACCAATTAAAATAGAATGAAATTTATCCAGCCCAAAAGGACCTAGTTTTATTGTATGTTGGTTTAGCAAAACTGCGGTGAAGACGCATCATGAATGCAACATCAGCCTCAGCATGGGCATATATATATATATATATATATATATATATATATCGGCAACAGACTCTTACAAGGCCCTACTATCCCGTTTCCCTCGTGGCCTTCAATGTTTCCACTCTACGAAATTATACCAAAAGGCTGCACTCGCACGCACTTTGGACACGCTGACTATTGACGTGCGTTGTGTACCCTAAATTAGGACCAATGACGCGCAAGGGGTTGTTGAATTAACTACATCCAGTTTGTCCTCTTGCTATTGGTTGCACGCATCCGGAAACGCTGATACCGCAATTACTGGTCAAGCTGGTCGATTGGATTCCCGTGAGCAACCGTTTGTGTGAAACCCGTTTGACGGCCATCATCATCAATGCACATGTGCCACAATACAAAAATATACTAGCTTATACAATATAGACCAAAAGTTGCTAAAAAGTAACATAATGCTAAATATAACATTTGAGATTGTTGTTGGAGTAGGAAACTAAATAGGAGGGGGAAGAAGGAAGAGACGCACATCGCAAATGCCATTAAGATCGGCTCCATGCCAGGTCAGCTAGTGTATCTAACCAAACATGTTTATAGTCCTTAGAACCCCAGTCCGGCTGTCAGGAAAACCAACGAACGCCAATTTCGAATCGAGGGATTCCATTCCTCTTGACCAACTCTTTGCTTCACCTCCCCTCCTCCGCTTTGACCCAAACCCTGAGCGAGCAACCATCGCACAATGCGGGAATGGCCCAGCTATCGGAGCCTGATGCGTGATATAATGGGGCTGAACGGTTCACTCGCCTTTCCTGTATTAAATACGGGTGCCGAATATGCTTATTGCTCACGCGGGGTTCCCACCAGACATGAGCTAAACTGCGAAGGCAGCAATGACCGAACGTAACAGTACTTGTTATGTTGGTCTACCTGATAGACCAAGTTTCGAAACTGTGTAGTAGAGTTGTACGCAAGGCTGCATTGTAAACTCTACCATGCAGAGCCGGAATAATGGCACGCCTGCGCTATGGGGGGCGGAAGTTGGCGAAAGCACCCCGAGCTTTTGTTATAAGGTTCTTGATCTTGCTTCCGATCCAGAGGGCCCAAATGCACCTACACAGATGCCTAAATATCTGGACTACTTCTAACTGATCATCATAAAGGGTCAAAGGAGCAGTGGGTCCCTGCCAATCTTGCAGAAGCGCTTTGTTTCCCGAGGGTGCAAATCATTGCCCGGAACGATTGAGATCCGGAACTAATTTATCCAGTGCTACTTGACAGGTTTGTGAATTGTCACATAGGAAATAAGTGTCTCAGCATCCACCAAGTCAACTAGTCATTCACCTAGGAGCAACACCAGGCGTACGCCATTTCCTCTACCTCGTCAATGGCGAAGTTAAAGAGTAAGGGTGACAGCGAACAACCTGGTCTCACCCAGCTGGAGATATTGATCATTATTCTGCCCGGACTATTCACGTACAACCCTCTTATGACATTTACATTTTTATCGTGCACCCTTTCCTCAGCAGACAGTCCCAATGAACACATCGAGCAACTGATTCAAAGATCTCTTGGATGTCCAGAAACACGACAACGCTGGATTGGCAATAAACATGACGGTGCTCCAACACTTCACGTACTGTGAATATGTGGTCAATGTAGCCTCAATTATAACTAACCCCGGCTTGTTGTTCGCGTACCTAGCATACACAGGTGCTAACAAGTATATGAAAAGTGCCGGAGAAAAGTAACTCCAAGACAATTGAGTTCAGGATGATTCTTCTGTGATTGCCACATTCCGAACAGAAGCCTCCCTTAAAAATTGGACTATAACAGAGTGGCTCCAATCTGCTTGGGCAGTCTCCAGTTTCCACTGTCTCACTAGTAAATTGTGTAAAGAATCTACAAGAGCAGGTCCCCCGAATTTAAGAAGGGTGGCCGGAACTTCCTTTGTCCTTGCGGCCTTATTCAATTTCAACAGGCTGATTGCACGTTTGACCTCTGCGTGTAAGGGCGGATCCAAGGCGAAGGTCTAAGGTGGTAGGCGATCAATACCCAATATAGGAGCTGGCGACTGACTGATTAAACTACCTTTCAAGTTGTTTGGCCCAGCGCTGCGAACGCTTTCACAATCTATGGATCGGTTTCCACTCTCATCGTGTATAGCCTCGCTAACACCAGGTGTACTGCTGCCTGTTTCCAGTAGCAGACGGAATAACGTACGATTGTTGCCAAGGGCAGCGGTTGTTACAATCTCCGGCGCACGATGTGATCACCAACCTCATTGGTATCTCTTCAGGCTACCAAGCAGCTTTGCTCTGTGATCACTGCGAGTCACAATGTGTTTGCTTCCAGTCGGAACACGTCAGCGAGCATTCATAAGTTCCAGAGACCGCGTAAAGACCAAAGATGCTGGTTGACAATTGGATTTGCCACGTGAAGACATGGCTGCTGCTAATAACGTCTGGCGGGTATCGACCAGTGACTTTCGACTGTGTTCGGTGTGCTCGTACTCAGTCCGGTCGCCAGGGTACCTTGATACGCATTCAGAACACGCGACTCTGCTAAAAACTATTGTGTCTGTACGCCTACACCGTCGTTGCGGTCTTCCGGCGAAATATATCCGCAAATTGAAACATAACAAATCATAATCGGAGTCTACGTTGGTGCTACAAATCGAGCGACAGCTCAGTTGCTCATTTGTTCGCCATACTGGGAACAAATGAGCAACCGAATTATCAACCCGAGCTACCGGTTTTCAGAAACGAACGACAGTTTTTCGCTACAACCTATCCAGTGGTAACTGATCGCGATGTGATCGAGCTGCATCCGAGGCTGGTGTCACCCTGTCACTCTTCTGCAGGTACTGTGTCCGGAGTTAGTGCTCGTGAGAAGGGACGTGCACATTCACATAGTTGTATCAATTGCCCACCGTTATCATTAACGGAGCCCACACCAAGTGGGCCTCCCATGGGCAACTCATCAGTAGGCAGTTTTGCAACTTGTGCGTTCAGATCACCATCAAGCACTACAGCATCCGTAATTTCGCTGTAAAGAATGGGCGCATTCATTCGCTAATAGCAGTCATCCTTCACCGAGTCGGCGCTACACTTTTTAGGATCGTAGGTAGCAATGACAAACACCCGCCGCTCGTTCCGGCGCGACTCCAAAGATTTGACCTAGCTAACGAATCTGACAGTGTGCATCCGTCTGTTCGTTAAAATCCAAAGGTTCAGGGCACATTCTGCCAGTGGGCTCAAAGCGATGCCCACACATCGTTGATTGGCATTTTAAGCTGTGTCATCTCCGGACAAGTGCATGAGATAATACTGTTATTGTCGCATGTTACGGATCACAGGTTAGGCAAAAACTCAAAGCTTGCCAGTGAGTTCCTGATTAACAGCGGATGTTGACTGATATGATCTCTAGTGGTCAAACAAGTGCTGCCGCTCGGCCAACCTGTTACAGTACGTTTGTCGAGGCGTGTCATTTCTAGGAATGATCGAGGGTTCCAAATAGAAACGGATGAATTGACTTTTACCGTTTGGTTGGTCATGAACTTGTCGACTGGACCTGAGCGACGCCCTGCAATTGCATGTAATTTGAAAACAGAAAACAAGTGCCTATCGAAGCACGATAGGGAGGGACGTGAAAGGGAGATGAAAACAGGGGGATAAAACTGAAGCTGGAACAGGATGATAAGGAGGGAAAAACGCAAACGAGGGATAAGACGGGAAGACTTGAACCGTAGCATCCAAACGCCTACCCACCCTGCTCGGTGCAGCATACAGGGCGACGTTCATTATCCTCTACGACGGCCAGGGCAGTCAAAGATTGATTAAAGGGAAAGTCCTTTTATTGCATTGCATGGGCAAGCTATTTTTAGTTTTCACCGGCCTGAACATGAAAACGAATAAAGTTATCAAGATCTTGACCACAAGGCAACAGGCTTTTCGCACTAGGATACATTGAGTCCGTTTTATGGGGTAAGGTACCAACCTAATTCCAACCCCAAGCCAGGTACGCTAGAAGATTGAGTTTGTCAGGCCTCTAGCCATCGACCAGTCTGGTATGTGTGACTGAAGATGAAAAAGCACTTCCCAGCATAGTCCAAGGTAACACTGAGGCACACAACCCTTTGCATCGTGTTAACATCCGGTCTCGTCAGGATGGCCTCTAACATAGGTAAATGGAACGAGAGAAGAGCCAGCAGCTTATCACCTAAGCAGTAGTCCACGATGTGTGACTGAATTTTATTGGTAAACTGGGCTTGGATCAATTCGGGATACTTGACGTATAGTGTCCGTTCAAAGAGAAGAATGGACCAGTTCAAGCTAACATGAGGTCGGCTTTGGTCAATGAAAGCCGGGCGACAGTTCAAGTGAAAAATAAGAGTGACCCAATACAAATCAAAACCAGTGGTTTGGCTTTTCGAAACTACATACACTGTGGAGGAGTGCTCTTTGTTAAAGGATGGGAGGTAAAATTGTTGAGTTTTGTAGTATCCGACATGTGCCTGCGTGTGTGTGTGGATTGCGACACGCAATCGTAATCGCGGTAAAAGTGTGGTGGTGGGACGCAACAACATCAAAGTCACCCACAACAGTGGGTGAAAGTTTCAATCGTTTGCCTCCGCCGTCGCCTCCTGTTGGCAGCACGTCTTTAGTGTACAGAATGAACAATCTTTTATTCAGCATTGATTCCAATGCAGCAACTTCTTTGGTTTCCTCTTCCTCTACTTTTTAGTACGAAGGGTTTATGCTGTACCGGACCCAGTTTTATTACAGACCTGGTGACACAGTGCGGTTGAAATTCAGAGAAATCTCCGACTACGCATACGTGTACACGGCCAGTGTGACATTTTCCACATTGGTGAGTTTGTGTTTAGCCTGTTATGGAGCCTTTTGAATGGAGTGACATTATCTCGAGGATTGCCGTTGCACTGTATCTCGCAGGCTTGCGAGTAGCCAGTCGAATGGGTGATGGCGTTAAGCAGTCCACCGTGGCAAAGTCTTTTTACTCAGCAGGCAATTTCATATTGGACACTAATAAGAGGTGCTTATTTCGTTGTGAAGTCAATTGTACAGTATAAGTCCTAATGCTATCAACATCGATGACGTGACAAAAGATGTATCACGGACCATCAGTGAGTTAACATAACCACGAAGAGGTGCAATGCTTGCCTCCAAACGTTAGCCTCTCATTGTTTGGATAGTTGATGTCAGCCTTCTTCGATCCAATTTTTATCCGTACTATCCCCACGGTAACACAACCATTGTATAATGGATACAGACGCTTAGCATGCCCTTTTTGGCAGAAGGCGAGATTATTTATTTGTACCGGAACAAAACGAAGTCTCCAGAAAATCGTAGCCCCAGTAGGTAGGCTAGCCGACGGACCTTCATATCATCATTCATGGCTGGGCTGTTAGAGTGGAATTTGTGCTCAGACCTGTTTCCAACCTCCGATGGATATGCTGTAAACCTACGACTCATTGACGCTAGCGGAATGATTGTTGACACAGAGGTTGAACTGAAATGATCATTAAGTGTTACTCACGTGATGCACATCTCCTGAGTAGGAGAATCTGTATCTAACCCCTGTGCGCAAAACCGTTTGTATTGACACAGTGGAGAAACTGCAGTCGTTCCTAACTACTGCATGAGAAATTGCAGAAACTTGCTTTCTTGATAAACATTTTTTGCAGGTGTTCCATGGGGCTGTCTCCCGCAACGACAAAACACTGGTGTTGCCACTGAAGATGAAGTACAACACTACTGATCTCGTCATATTGGTTGAGAATGCGGGTTACGTTACCTATGAGCCTAAAAGTTATAACGATCGTAAGGTAAGCGATGCGCAATGTTTTCTAGAACCAATATCCTTGATCTTGTTAGTTGCTCTGACAATTACGTATTGTAGTCAGTAGCTAATTGGCTAGAAGGGCCTTAACAACACTTCCTGAACAAAACACATCATCCGGAACCCCTGAGGATTTATTTTTCGAAATAAAAAGGAATATAATGAACCCATGCAATCGTAAACAAGTAAATATTGCCAATCTGTGGTACGCGCAATCTGCCTTGCATAGGAAATCAATTTTCCAAGATATGGTATCATACATTGGAGAACAGCTTGAAAGGCTGCTTCCCTAAACTTGCGTTAGCCACGTTCGTGGGTAACCTAAGACGACGCGACTAGGAGCTCCCCACAGACGATTGGTGGATGTGCGAATGTCCAGTCATATGGTCTATGGACTGACGGGAAAGCATCGCCAAGTTAGAGCAGTAAATGCTGACAAATCGATGGGCAGACCAAAAGTAATATGTTATGAGAATGTAAAAAGATAGGTATGCATCGTACAAACCATAAGGAGAGGTACATTCTGAATGCAAAAATAAACACGAATCTTACTCAACATTGTCCATGATCTAGTTTCAACGAACATTAAAGGAATTGCTGTCGAGTGTATGATGAGAGGGGCAGAGTTGCTTCTCTCATTTTTCACAATTGACTTTGATCTAGCGGACCGCAAGCAGATAGAATACAATACGTAAACATTCATCACATCTAGACTCAGTCAGCTAGCCGTCACATACCCGAAAAAAATGCTACACGGCGGTTTCCTCATTCTAGGAATCGTCAGTAGTGCGCATTCCATCTGAGCCCTGTAGGCCTTAAGCTCTCAACTCGACGGTTGCCAGTCTGTGGTTGAGACCACTGAGCTAGTAAGGGACAGTAACCACCATGGACCACGTTACTAGAGGTGATGTAATGCTGCTCACTACCTACTGACTTACACGTTACCACCGTGCAGAGGATAAGGTAGCACCTTGACCAAGCGAAAAACTTACCAAACCTAAGTAGGTAATTGTGATATTATAAGCAGTTTGGTCTGCGTACATCAAGTAACTTAGTCATTTTGATCGTTACCGTCCCCCAGTAGCTCAGTGGTCGCAACCACAGACTGGCAACAGTCGAGTTGCTGCTACGAGCCTTACAAAGGTCAGATGGAATGCGCCCTGCTGACGATTCCCGAAAGGAGGAAACGGCCGTATAGCACTTTTTCGGGTATGTGATGGCTATCTTACGGAGTTTAGCTGTGTTGAATTTCTACCTATACCATTTACCCCCCTATCACTCCCATGTAATCATATAGAATATAAATAAATCGTGAATCGCTATAGATGCACAGGCTACTACCACAATGTTACTGAAAGGATATTTTGATATAGTGTGTTTTTGCCAATTTCGCTTATTTCGCTGCGATTGTTCAACTTGAACTTCATCACATTTGATGAACATACAAATAGAACCGTAAAATGAGTGCATTAAAGGAACGGCAACCATCCATCTCCGTGTTTACAATGAAAACCTAGCTGGTGGTTTTCAAATGCCCAAACTGCGAATAATCAACCGGCTGTAGTTTTGATAATTGGATGAGGACTAGACAGCCTGGTACAACACATCAGCAGGTTGACAGTGAGCACGATAAGATAGAAAACGAAGGCATGTTTTGATCAGTTCACAAGTGTACAGGTTTTTGGCTTGATGGGGTGTAGTTAGTAATCCTTGCATGAAAAATGTCTGAAAATGGAAGCAGAGTATGGGTGGGAGTTAAAATTGTCCGCACCAGAACCTAAGGCCCAAGTAATTTGAAACCGACTCGAGTTATTTAGTGTCGGATACTGCTAGAGTAGAAAGTAGGCCAATCCCCAGTAAGGATGAACAAACAGGTCCAGTACGTGGCAAATACTGGAGTTTTTCCAAAGAAAAACGTGAAGCAATAGTGATTAAAAGTACACTGTAAAGTCTGCGCTGGTTATGGTTCGATCGCACATGGGAGTTGACTTCAAATCGACGCTAGTCTGTTGATCGATACCTTTCCGACGCATTACAGGCGAACCGTTGGACTTCAGCTGGCTTGGACCATGGGCTCAGCTCGTTCAGGTCTTCGAGGCAAATAATTAAGTGGCATCGATCTACGAGCTCTATTGGTCTGCGCTCGAGGAGCTGTACCCTCCTAGCATCTCCCCCTGTACCTTGTTCGGTGTACGATCTTTGACTTAAGTTGGAACGGAGTGACTGGCTGCCGTGTTTGACTGGCTTTGCGCCTGTGCTGAGGTGTGATATTTGTCGTTGGGCGCCAGATTGCAAACTGTTCTGGCCTCAATACGTCTTTTCATTTCGAACACTGCTAACAGATGACCAAGACTAAGAGATCCATCACCACTGTTGACCCTTGCAATGCGTTTGACGGAGTTGGTTAGCGTGGTCTCTCCACAGCAGTGAACCCACCTGGACGTCGTATAAAACATGTTCAATATGCCTTGTACTTATGTTGACAGCCTCCTTTTGATGACCAAAACGATAGTATTTGACAAGTACACGATTGTCTGATCGCAAAGACCGTTTGTATTGTCTCACAACTGAGTGTTGGCTTGAAAGTGGCCAGATAACATTATGAGTCACTTAGCAGTGACGGTGCCACTGCCAACACTGGTCACGGAAAGGCCTGTCTATTCAGTGCGCAATACGCCTAGACTTTTGTTCTGGAAAAGCAGTTATCGCATGTTGACTTAGCGAGTTGAGTTCCATAGGACTCAGGTTTAACACTCCGCAATTTTGAAAACCTGGGTATTCCATCTTCCTCAGGGACTAAACACTCACACACTGTACAAGCTAGATAGAAATGGAAAACACCTCAAATACTGTGCCGCAGTACCTAGAAGAAAAAAGGGAATATGATTCAACAGGTGCAAGCCAGCTGAGTTACCGATAACGGATGGGCATCGTTCCGGTAAGCTAAGCGCCGGCTACTATGCAAAACTATAAAATACAAAATAATGTGGTCGTGGTTGGAATGGGAGGCTAAGAGGGATGGGGTGGAACAAAGAAACTCACAGCACGAAAGCCACTGATGTCGGTTCCTAGCCATATCAACAAGTGTATCCAGCTAAACGTGTTCGTCGTCTTTAGGACCCCAACAAAGGAGCTGTGACGCTCAAACCTAGGCCAGCTTCGAAGTGAGGGCCTTCATTCCTCATGACCAAGTCATCGATTAGCCGCCTCTCTTCTTCCATCCACACCCCGACACGTAAACAACACACCTCATGGGAGTCGGTGGGCTGGCATGCGTAACACGTGGCCGAGCCGTCGGAGCCTGGTGCGTGAAATAACGGTGCTGAGTGGTTCAGTTCCTTTTCCTGCACCACAAACAAGGCGTCGAACCCGCTCGTTGCTCACGCGGTGTTCCCACCAGATGTGAGCTAAACTGCGAAGGCATCAGTGGTCAAAAGTAACTAGCCTATTTAGGTCCGCTGATGTAAGGGGTCAAGTTTCACAACCGTACAGTAGGGTCGAAGGTACTGCTGCATTGTACACTCTACCCTTCAGGGCGAGAGTGATGTCGCAACGGCGACATAAGTGGAGAAGGCTAGCAAAAGCATCACAAGCCTTGCTATACAGTTCGTGATCTCATCGTCAATCCCATGGGCGCTGATATACCTTCCCCGGTAGTTAACTTTTTGAACGACTTCTAGCTGATCCCCACCAAGCGTCAACGCAGCAGACGGTCAAGACCAATCTTGGAGGAATGCTTTGCACTTCGATGGTGCAAAGAAAAACCTGAAGTGGCTGACAGCCAGTGTTAATCTGTCCCGTGTCGCCTCGCACGTCTGGCAGCTGTCACAGATTAGGGTAATATCGTCAGCATACTCCAAGTCACGAAGTCGTTCTCCTGGGAGCAGATCCACACCTTCTAAATCGTGTCCTACGAACGCAATTTCCATGACTTGCTCAGTAGCGAAGTTGAAGAAGCAAGGTGACAGCGGGCGTCCTTGTCTCACGCCTCTGGAGATATTAAAGGGCGACAACAGCTTGCCGTAAACCCTCTGCCTGAGCTACGCGCGTATAATGATCGGATAATATTTAAATATTTCTCAGGTACACCTTTCCTGAGTAGACAGTCTCAAAGTGCAAGTTTATCCACCGAATCGGATGCACCTTTTATATCGAGGAACACGACTACGGTGGGCCGCCAGTATATGTACCGACGCTCCAACAACTAACGCAGTGAATATCTGGTCAATGCAGCCACGACCTCGACGAAACCCGACTTTCTCTTCACGAATATGACTTTCACAAGTGCCAGTCAGCCTGTAAAGTGTGACCGGCAAGCAATTTGGAAGCGATGGAGATCGAACTGATTCCTCCATGGTTGCCGCATTCCGATCGTGACCCTCCCTTGAAAACTGGGACTATGACGGAATGGCTCCAGTCGGTTGGGACAGTCTCCTGCTTCCACGGTTTCACTGGTAACTCGTATACATCATCCACAAGAGCCGGTCCCCTGAATTTGAAGTGGGCTGGAGCTAGATCCTCTAGTCCCGCGGCTTTATTTGGCTTCAACAGTGAGACCTCACGTTGGACTTCTGAGTGAGAGGGTGGATCCAAAGGGACAGCCCAGGGAACGGGACGATCAGCGGCCAGCGCAAAACCTAACAATTCCGACCAATCAAATTGCCTTTCAAAGTGCTTAGCTCAACGCTCCAAGCCTTTTGAGAAGTTGTAGACAGGCTGTCCACTCTCGCCACGTATAGTTTCACTAACACCAGGTCTTCCGCTGTCCGTTTCCCGCATCAGCTGGAATAACTGACGATGGTTACCAAGTGCAGCTGCCATTTCCATTTCTGATGCACGATGAGAACACCAGTATTCGCGGTCTCCATTCAGGATAGCACGGAGTCTTTCCCGGAGCTCTTTGAGAGTTTCATTGTGTTCGTTTCCAGTTTGAATATGCCGGCGAACATCAATAAGTTTCAGAAACTGTGAAGAGACCCAATCTCC